AATACGTGACCACTAGCGATGAACGTTTAAGTACGGTACGGAGTGAGGAGTAGGCGAATACACTGTTCTATTTCGTCCTACTAGACATTGTCGTAGTATTTCTTATATATATATATATATATATATCCTAAAATTTAGGGCCCTAGAAATACCACTAGCTTGGTTTTTTCCTGAGGGAGCAAATAGACATTCTACTCCCATGGGAGCACGAAATCATTTGGTTAAAAATAGGTTTCTTTCAGATGCGTTGCTTAAGGTTCTAACATTAAACAATCAACGTAGGCCCACCTCCAAATTTTATAATAAGAAGTAATTTTGGTGTAAAAAATTTCTAAGATGGTATGAGAATCTATTTTCACTTCCAATTATAAAATTTTAAACTTCAAAATGGTTAAAATCAAGTAAATCGATAAACATATGAAAATCATGAAAATGAAAAGTCCAAATAATACGTTGCAAGATACACTATTTTAGGACTTGAAATCTAAATTCTTCTTTTTTTTTTTTTTCATTTATATAAATCTCGATGTTGAGATTATCAATTAGAGGGTTTTTCAAAATCAAAACAGCATTTTTTTCGATGGATTTTTGAAGTGCACCTTAATTTGCAACCTTTAAACTTTTTCCGTCTTACTGTTACAGCGCGTAGTTTGGCTACTTCGAGGACTGGGAATTGGATTGCTTGGTGCCAGTTATGCACTGAAGATGAAACTAACTGCACAGGATGCAAGTATATTGTGGTCCAAATGAACTTAGAAAACTATGAGGACAAATTTTTCACCATTTGATTAAATGAAGAATCGGGATGACCATGGAGGCCATGTAGTGTCTACTGGTTTTCCATCACTCTTCATCACCCTCCAAGAATTGTTTAGGCATGCTAAGTTGCCAACCATTGATTGACAAATACGACCATAAGTGTTCATCATTGTCCAATCAAACAATCAAAGGTGGAGCATACAACTTAGGTCATATTGTGATCTTCTTAATAGCATTTCTGTATCGATATGCATTTTATGGCTTGTGTGGAATTTATCAAACTACCCAAGAGAGATGCATTATAACATTTTACATATTTTCAACTATTCCAACTCATACACATATGTTTTTTTATGGGCATTTTGAAATTGAGTCAAACAGAGAAAGAAAACGAGGAACTAACACGAGTATGAGATGGAGTTCCACAAGACAGTCTCAGTGTACTTAATTGAGTGTATAGCTGACTAATCTAATTGTGTACATTTAACTCATTGTTCATCAATTTGTTCATTTTATGAAAATAATCAACATTCAACAAAAAAGTTCTTTAATCATATGTTTCATATTGCTTTCTCAGTCGGATAAAGGATCATTCACATATTCCCATGTTCCTAGTACCCACAATTTTATCCGTATAGGAATGTCGCACTTACCCCCAGCCGTAAAATTTAGTGGTTGCCGACATGCCACTTATTGCACTTACAATGCGAAAAGAAATATTTTCATATAATTATATATATTTATAAAATATTTATCTAAGTTTAAATCGAGATACGATGATAGGAAACAATCCCAATTGACATGATCCGTTCGAATAAAAAGTTTTGATTCATCATCTATTCATTATAGAATAGAGGTACTAACAAAGATAGAGTGAAAGAGGTTAACTAAATAAATAAATAAACACCATAAGGATAAGGATTCAAGATTTGTGACATCTACCAATCTCATGATTCTGGATCAACAAACTTATTGGGCAACTCGGAAGTAATAGCAAAACGAACTCTCGTGTAATTCATTCACAAATTGAATTATTTTTCATTAACTTGAAAAACTATTAAATAGAAGAATTCAATTTGTAAATAGTCACCATTTAGATTATTTATTTTCCTTTTCAATTGGATCTATTTTTTTAAAAAAGGCTGGGTAACACCCCTTACTTTAACTTATTCGAGATATTATCCGAATCAACCAACCCACTATTGATTTGAATGAGAATAAAAAATAATATCTACCATCCGAAAAAAATAAAAAAAACGTTTGTGAAAATGAAATACATAGCCTTACCCAGATTTACATCTAAGAGCCAGGGTTGGTTGTGATATGAGATCAAGCAGTAGGGCACATATCACTATTGCGCTTAAGCTCACAGAAAATTTCTCAAACTCTGTCAAAATAAAGGACACACTCCTAACTGCACGATATCACATCGAACAGCTAGGGTGATTACAAGCCAAGAACAAGTGTTTAGGCTTACATCGATGTTGTTTAGGCTTACATCGATGTCAACTAACTTTATCTAAGAAAGATTATCTTATTTGAAATTAATATATTTGGGATAGTTTATTTTATTAGTTATTTGGTATGTATCTTATATTATATATATTATTTAATTATTTAACTTTTTTTTTGGTAATTTTCAACTACTTTTAGCTTTTCCTAGCCGAAAACATGTAGATGCCAACAATTCGAATAAAGTCAACAACTTTCCAACAAAATAGACTTATAAATTAAATTAAAGTGTCTATAAGTTTATCTCAAATAACCTTACAATGGAGCACTGCTAAACAATAGATAATTAGTTACCAAGATTAACTTTATTGAAATAGTGAATTATAAGCAATAACAAGACATCCAAATAAGCCCTTATATTATAACGATACCATAATGTTTAAAAATAATTTTTTTGACAAGAAAAAGAGATAAATGTTTAAAAACATTGAAGTATTGTTTTTCCCTCTCCAACTATAGTTCTATCCCATCACAGTCCCACAGTGTGTACATTTTAGATTTAGTAACATGATTTTTTTTCTTTCTGGACAGTCAAATGTTTTGAGAGAGAGAGAGAGTCCATTGATTACAAGTAGTAAACATTTCGAGAGACAGAAGGGGGAAGAATCTACAGGAAAGTCTAAGAAAACCCAGCCTTAACTCCAACAAGCGCAAATCAAAATAGAACTATAATATATAAAAGTGAAGCCCAAATTAAAGCGCACTTCAAAAATTCACTAGAAGAGGAGGTTGGTTCTAACAAACCCTAAATTCAAAACATGTATGCATATAAAAAAATTAAATTTTAAGTCTTAAAAATAATACATTTTATAATATATTATCTAAACCATTAATTTTCAATATTTTCAAAGGTCAAGAAAAAAAAAAAGATTTCAAGTCTAAAAAATAATACATCTTACAATGTACTATCTGAACCATCAATTTTCAATATTTTCAAGTGGTCATAGATCTGAATCACCTTAAATTTTATAATTAGATATGAAAATAAATTTTCAAGCCATCATAACGATTTCTAATATTGAAACAACATTTGAAGGTACGGCTTAGTTTGAAGGTACGGCTTACTTTGATTGTTTAGGGCAACAGCCTTATAAAAACCACACATATATAATACACCAAAAGCCCAACTTCCCCTCCTTATTCACCATTTACATAGTCATCCAACACAACCACTCCTTATATATGCACTTATAATCACCGCAATATGCCACAAAATACCCCCAAAAAATTTACAATATAAAAACAAAACAAATACCATTGAAATAACAAAAAAAAAAGAGTAAAAATCAACATACAAAAAGAAAAAAAGGGACAAAATTTTCCTCCCCACATTAAAAATTTCTCCACCAAGCCCACCAATCATCACCTCGGCCTTGGCCTCGGCCTCACTGGCGCTGCCGTTGCTGGCGGCCCCATCGTCCTCGACCTTGCCAGCATGTCCGCCATGCACGGAGTTTGGTACCCATGGGGCCCAGCCCCATGGGCCGCACTCGCCCCTCTTGCTGTGGCCCGCTGCCACGAGTGTGAACTCAGCCCTGACAAAACATATGCTCTCCCCGACGACTCATAGGCTGCCCTACTGGCCATTCTCCACTGCAACTCCGCAAGCTCAGCATCCAATGCTAGGCACAGCTCGTCACCGGCACGCCATGCCGCGGAGCCTGCCATGACTGAACGGCGGCGGTCGAGGGCGGCAACTGCCCCGCGGAGGTCCCCATGCTCAGCAAGGGCCCGTGCCTCAGCCATGGTCTCAGCTGCACCTGCACGCTGCCGCTCACGGTCAACCTCAAGTCGAGGCAGGCCCAAGAGATCAGCAGCGCCAATGGGGCGGGTGACCTCAACCACCACGGGGGTGCCATTGCATCCGTCACCTGTTATTGGGTCCTTGTACATGCACCGCACACTTAGAAGGAAGGTGGAAATTATGGAAACGCCACTCTCAGGCTGTGCCCCTCCATTGTAATTTACCGAACTACCCCTATTCGACATTGCTGGGACAGTGACATCAACTAAGAAGTTCCTCTCCTCCTCGGCATACAGATCACCAACGTTGACTGAACCCCCCTGGCCTCCATCCATTATACTGCTTGTGTAGCTTCCAGCCCGGATCGCAGTCACTCGCACACCAGGGACCACACAATCGAAGCTCAGCTTCACGTCCTGGACCACCACACTCAGGAGACCACCAATACACTGTGCAAAGGCATCTTGTATGGCCCCCTCTGCCTCAATGAAAGAGAACGTCCCCCCTGATGCCTCTGAGATGGCATGCATTGAACCTGCGTCGTGGTCAGCACCAAACCCGAAAGCATGTACTGGGGCCTGGACTGAGCTCGGAAGGAGGCTTGTGTAGTCCATAGGTGCGAGCCTGCCCGCACCTGCAGCTGAGCCCACAGTGTATGTGTCCTGACCGTCGGATAAGAGTATGATACTACAAACTGGGTTTCTCTCTCTACGATCTGAGATTACCTTTGCAGCCTTCCGGAGGCCCTCAGCAATGTTCGTGCCGCCAGTCGACGCAAGGGCATTTACCGCATGTAGGGCTTGTTGCCGGCCTGATTCAGACATTCGACGAAGGTTAAAAAGACGACGAGCGTTTGACGAGAAGGCAATGACAGAAAGACGGTCAGATGGGCCTAAATTTTGGATCACGAACCCCATGGCTCGCTTTAGAAGGGCTAATTTGGTCCCAGCCATGCTTCCACTCACATCGAGCACAGTCACTAGGTCCACAGGAGCTCGATCCCTATGGCTTTGGGGCGATAATAATTGGGTTTTCATCCCATTTTGACTTGAATATGGAGCCTTGAGATGAACCAAGATAGAGAAATTGTCCAGAGAGAGAGACCTTGGGACTAAGTCAAACTCGGGGTGGGTCTCGATTTTGAGGGCTTGGGTTGGGTTTTCAAGAGGTGGGTTCAAACCACTGGGTTCAGTTCGTGGGTCAAGTGGCTCATCATCGGTGAATGAAGCAGGTTCAGGGGCATGAAAAAGGGGGTTCAGGTGGTGGTGATGAGATTCATGGGGGGGTCGGGGTTGGGGTAGTCGGCGTAAAATGGTCATGAAGGCAGGGTCCTCGTTAGGCCAGTCGAGAGGGCTAATGCGTGCCCTGCTGTTGTGATCAGAGGAGGGAGCAGGAAATGGAACTTCTTTCCATTTGGCTCGGCAAACTGGACATGCGTGGCTCCCATGTTTTACGTTGGAGAGGATGCAATGGAAGTGGAAGGAGTGGGAACACTCAGCTGTGAAGAGGGCGTGACCATTGCCAGGTTTCATGGCGCCGAGGCATATTGAGCAGGTCCTCTGCAAAATGAGAGAGAAAACCGTTTGAGAATTGTGTGTGAGAGAGAGAACGAGGTCATTTATTTGTTCATCAGGCAAGTAACGACAGTTGCTGCTTAGAGATAATCAGAACCAAAAAAGAAGAGAGCGAGACACAATAACCAGTTATTTGTCAACCAATGCATCAAAAACTGCCCCTTCGGGGAAGATCCGGTGGGACTTTAAACTTTTATTCTATGCATAACCCTGGAACCCCTCATAGTTAAGATCAATCAAATTCTTAAACTTTGACCCACGCACCCTTTTAAGAATTAGTCAACCTTGTCAGGAAAAAAAATGCGTGCCTCAAAAACCTATCGAAAAAGGTTGTTCCGACTTTGGAAAGCCCTCCAATTGATTATCTCAACCTCAATATATATGAATATGGTAAAAAAAGAATCTCAAGTTCTAAATAGTACATCTTGTAACATATTTCTTGTAACATTTTATGGATCATCAATTTTCAGGATTTTTCAAATGCTAACAGATCTGCTCAATCTGCACTTTTTTTTTTGTGTTAAAATTCTAGTTGAGGTGAAAATAGATTTTGATGCGATCCTAGGAATTTTTAATACCCGAATTAACTATTTTGACAAAGTCTGGAGGTGCACCTTATGTTGATTGCTTAAGTTCGACACCTTCTACAAACCACACCCAAAGAAAAATGACCCAAGACAGAAAAATTGCGTCTTCGAAATCCTTACATTCTTCAAAGAAGAACATGTCAAATAATCTTATTTCCAGATTTCTATATATATATATATATATATATATATATATATAT